CCTTTTTCTCTTGGTGTTTACAAGATGTCCCCTAAGGTTTGTGTTTGTTTTGTTTATGCTTCTGAGTGTAAGTGAATGGGACTGGAAATCTGAAGGGTTTTTTTAATAAAGTTTATGGGAAAATCAGATACGTAGCAAAAGAAGTGCATATTTATTTCTGAATATATTACGATCAGTGGCTCTTCGGGAGAACAGAAGTGAATGTGAATTACGAAGTTTAGATCCAGGAGCTTTCAGAATTTCATTGCATAAGCTCATGAATTTCCCCTGTTGATTCACAGTCCAGACTGTACCCGTTAAATGTCATGGGCGGTCATGTTGGTGGAAGGAGATGTGATATCTCAGGAAGCAAAGTCCAATACCCTGAAGGGCTTTGACTATCAAGACACTGGGCAAGCCAAAGGAATTTATGCTGCTGAGTAAATGGGATGCTGTGTTTGGAAGTTTTCAGAGCTTTCACAGGGCATGTGGCTCTGTTCCTTTGTGTGATAAGCAACATGGTGAAACTTCAAAGTCAAACAACGCCTGAGTGTCCTCTGTCTTGCAGGGATAGTTGTGGATTTGGTAGGTCAGTCACAGATAGAGAGGATTACCAGAGATTTAGGAAAGGTATGTGCTTCCCCTCTCCATAAAGACATCACTCCACCTTGGAGGGGTCGCACTACAGCTCCCTGCTTCTCTTAGAGCTGCTCACAATGAGCACAGAAGTGGACGCTGCTGGGATGAGATGTGGGACCAAAGTCACCGGGGCAGCACCAACTCTCTGGCTTGGTTACTCAGCCTGGCACTTGGCACCATTGGTGCCCATCACGCACCAGAGTCTGCACGTTGGGAGAGTTTGAGGCTGGTCTAATGGGAAGAACATCAGACATTTGTGGATGTGTCCTTAAGAACTGGACAGTCCTATGTTTTCTCTTTTCTATTTCTGATTGCTGCTGAGCTCATGAATCCCCACCAATGGATAAACAGAGAGCTCTGGACCTTTTTCATAATTGTTTCTGGATATATCCTTCCTCCATCTTATTCTGAACAAAACTTCTTGAATAGCTCATTTAAGGAGAAAACACTTGAAAAGTATATTAGCAAACTCTTTCAGTGGGGTAAAACCATCAACATGGAAAATTCAACTTTTCAAGAGAGCCATTAAGTGTGATTAAACCTTTAAAAAGGGAGAACAATGAATGCAGCCTTGTATTTAGCAATTTCATATCTTTAATTGTACAAAGATTTTCTTTAAAAGCACAAGCCTGAAAGGAAGCTGAATGTTACACTATTTACTGAAGGAAAGCAATGAGAGAAGAGAAGGCCTGTTCACTAGCTAATGGAGTGAAGCCCAGAAATAATGACAAAAAAAGCGATAACGACCGCTCTCCAACACAACATATATAAAAGAGGGAGCCATAAAAAGGCAACAATTCTTGACTTAGCTTTGAGTTTCACAATGACTGTGATTACAGATAGCAAGTGGAAGAGCATATATGCCATGATGAAATCTCATTGGCTTTGCAATTGAGATTCAAGCGAGGAAAGAAAAAAAGCAGGGACATTGAATTTCTGCAGAACAAATTTTGGATGGAGTATGAGAAATGGAAAGAAAGGAAGAAAGAGCAAGGTCATCAAAAAGTTCAGCAGAAAATGGATATATTCTCATCTATTCTATCTAATAATAAACACACTAGGGGCCAGATCCTCAGTTGAACCGAACGCCAGTGATGGAGCTAGCTGGCAGTTCCTGCATATGTGAAGACCAAACGAGCACACGCATCCTGGTGTACTTTAGCCTGTGCCATCTTGCAGCATCTTCCATGCTCACAGAAGCCTTTGACTAATGGGAACTAGATTATACCAAAAAAATCAAAAACTAAACTCATTAACTCATACAGTGATTATATTTACAATACATTTCATGCTAGCTTAATTCTAAGTGCTACTTTAAAGAGAAAATATTTTGACACATTTTAATGACACATTAATTGCCAGCTTTATTTTTGTTGATCAGTTTTTTAAAAGGCAGTGTTAGCATCTTAGCTTCCATCACGTATGTACGTGTCTGACTTCATATATGTAATACTAAGATTATATGTGCTCATACTTTTTCATGACAAGGCTACGTTATCTCACTTGAAGTCTTATGCTCATTGAATTTTAACAGACATCTTTTAAAGCCTTTCACTAGGTTACCAAAATACCTTAGAAGTGCAACTTCTATTCAATTATTGTCTAGAAAACTACAAGAGCAAGGTTTCTTACACTTCTTGTTCTAGAAAAATTAGCTTTAAATGTGCAGAGTCCAGAAGGTACATAATAAGTATCCCCAAAGTATTGAAACTACACTCTGACAGCTGGCAGGAGGTGCTGATGGTCCCAGGCAGAGAGAATGTAGGGTGACAGACTGCAAACCAGCAACCTAGCAGGAAAAATGATGACTGAGGCTTGATTCTGTCAAGGAAAAAGGCTGAGCAGAATCATATTAGCTCTCTGAGAAGTTTGCCTAAATAATTTTATTACTGTTACTCAGAGTAATACCAGCTGTGAGCTTGTTATTTAACATCATGGTAACTTGCATGAGCAATGAAATAAAAATGAATTGGAGAGGAATGGAGAAGTAATGTATAGGTGACAGCATGCCTGTAGGCATAAGAACGATGAAGATGGGTACCATGTTGAAGACTGAAAAAGCTAGTGCGACTGTGAGACAAGCAGATGAGAAACCTGAATGTCTGGTGCCTACCATGGAGCCAGTGGCTTGCTGATGACTGCCATATTAAATATCTCCAATAAAGGTGATCAGTGTAAAGAATCAAACAAAAATGCCATTTCAGAACAGCCAGAACTATCTGCAAATGCAGTACTCATTCAGTGAATAGCTTCAACAAGAACAAAAAAAAACACACTTGAAAAAGACAGACACGATTCCTTTGTCATTTCTCATACTGAATCTGAGCAGGGGATTGTGAGCCTGATAGCTTGCTGGTAGATCAGTTGGCTTAACTTTCTGCAAAACCTTGCCTCATTTGTATCCTTAGAGCATTGGGCCTACAATAATAGTATTAATTCTCTTTGCACTAGCAAAGTGATGGGACGTGTCCCTTTTTTAGACCGGCATGTGTTATCCTGGGATTTCCCATCCCTCACTAACTCAGTGTACATTTAATTATTCAATGCAAAATAAACCTGCTTGACAGAGGTGGCAGAGCTCTACCTCTTGCAAGAGAGCCCTAGATCTGATGCAGTGTTAACCACAGTCCCACTCTCAGTGCACATACCGACTACGGATTTCCAGAGCCCTCTCTGACACCTTTCCTGTGCCTTTGTGACGACATACTCAGTTAAGTGTTTGGTGGTTGGCACCTACCTTTCTAGCAAAGGTATACCTGTACTTTAGCATTTCCTTTCCAGTGGAGCAATTAAAAAGAGATGATCCCGAAAAGATTGTCTTAGTTTTTAAGCATGCACAACAAATGCAGGCCAGGCAGTTCTGAACTTGAATTAGAGGAGGTGCCTGAGGTTGGAGGCTTCTTACTTGGAAGAGTAGCTGCCATCATATTGAGTACACAAACATAGTTTTCAGAGGAGTCTTACAGGAGAGGGTCTCTAGGTCTGGCTCTTAATTTTGGACCGTTTGTGTTTCTAATTATAAAGATGACTCAAGCTGAGATTATGAATCTCTGGTAGCTCTGAAAATAATATCCAAAGCCAAGCCACAGTTATCATTAGAGGCACTGAAAATAGTTGCAAAACAACGTACTGATATTTCCTGTAGTCACACCAGCTCTGGAAAATGTTGACAGGAGGCACCATCACAAAACTTTTGCCTGACAAATGAAGAAGAGCACAATGCCTGTAATTTAGATTTTGTAGTCTGACATCAATTAAGTTGTATGAGAATCATTAGACCGAAGAGGGTATTTGCGTGGGAAAGGTGAATGAAAATGCTCACCATAGACTACATACACTGAGATTTTGCTAATGAAGAAAAAGTGCAAATACAGAGTTCCACTATCTAAAACAAAAACAAATTAAACTTGATTCATTATGCCATAGCCTTTAACAAGGGCGATAGTAGGCGCTTTTACAGGATGATATTTTGTGATTATTGTGAAGAATGACATCTTTCTATAAAATGAAATTATGAATTGTTTCATGAATGCTACATCCCTGACACTTGCAGGACTGTGCCATTTTTTTCCGCTGAAACACTTAGGCAATTACTCTTCATGGATAAGACAGAAACGTCTGGATGTACAATGGTTTCTGCATTAACAAAGTTGCTGTGATGTAGTCTGCTTTTTGCATCTACTAACCTGCAGTGACCAGAAGCCATTATTTCCATCGGACACAATGGCAACTGGAAACATTACCCTCACAATGCTGAAGAATGTAAATGCATTATCTCATGACCTCCAAGGATGTGGTATGTGGCACTGCTGTACAAAAAGTTTTGAAACTGGTTTGCAATGTACTTATGTCTACTTCCTCATAGAGAATTATTTCTTTCAGTTGCTTTGCTTTGACCTCCAAGGAGAATGAATGGCTCACATACACAGTCTTTAAAAACATCCACATCAAGTGTGGGAGGGCTGGGAGCGAACAGGTTGAGAAGGCAGAGTGGCATGAGTGAGTTATTGTGGGTGGGGAATGAAATAAAATCTTGGGCATGGGGCTGGACAACAAACAAAGCAACAAAATTGACAGAGAGGCTGTGCCCTGTTTTCTGACCTTCACTACCACATAGCTGTGAGTGAGATGTCTTGGTGACCATGACACAAACTTAGCTTCCAACAGCATTTAATTCATTCTTCCCTTCCCCCTCCCTATTTTTTTTTCTCATTATTTTACTGTGAAGAAATGGCAAAGCTATCTCCTTACCTTAATTATGCATTTCTTATATCAATAGGCATTTAAAATAATTATTTCTTTTTTTTTTTTTTTTTTTTTTTTTCAAGCTTACTGAAGTCCTCAGTTTCCTAGGTTTATAATGCTTGATTTGGGATAAAACATCTTTGGTTTATTTTTCACCCTTGCTTCCCTCTTACCCACAGACATGCACATTTACATTTCTTTTTCTACTTTAATATAATTTCCTTCTACAGGAACATTTTTCCCAAACAATTTCTTAAGTCCTCCAAATGAAAGGCTTCTGGCACAGTACAGCAAATTGGTCTTCAATTTTCCCAGGACATGAGTGAGACTGGTGTGGCCATAGAGGGGAGTTGGTAAAGACCTCAAACTGCTGCATGTGGGGTTTAAGACCCTGGGCCGTGTGTAAGGAGCATCGTGGATGCTGAGGATCCAGCCAGAAGTGGCAGGAGCATCTCTGGTTCCTTTCCTCAGTGAATCTCCTCTGGTGAGAACAGGCCTGAATGGCCATAAAAGGCTCTCAGATGTTTGTCACTCAGAGATGGTCCTCTGCCCAATATGGTTACATGGGTACTGCATGGATGTTTCCAAACAGCCCATATGATGTGCAGGTGAAAAATCACTGGTGGCTCCTGAGAACTGGATGAATTCCAGTCCCATTCACATTCTGTTGGAACTTGAGACTATATGGGATATGTAGAAACTGTGTGATCACTTAAAGCTAAGAAGGGACAAAAATTTCAGGATTATCATTACTGCTATAATCACTAGCTGTTAACTAGCAGCACAGAAAAAAAATCAACTGTTTCCCTTTAAAAAAAATGTATCCAAAACTTTAGCTTGCTTGCTTATTTCTGATTCCTGTTCTCTAATACCTTGTTGATCCCTAATGCAGAACATGTCTTGAGCTGCCTGCAAAATATGCTGTGACACCCAACACAGCGACACAGAAAGTCTCTGCCTGCCTCTACTGTCCCTGATGCTGGAGGAGGACAAGCTGTTCTGGTCAGTGGGTGCTGTTGGGGGGGGTGGCCACGGCTGGGCCATTGGGAGTGTCTTGCTCCTTTGGGGGTGCATACAATGGGCAATGTGTTTAAAAATTCGAATGAAAGTCTACAGAAGTGCATCACTCCCTCAACTCAGCGAGTCTTGTTTTCTTAAACTGCCCGCTGAAGTGCCAGCTACTGGGGCTGTTAGAAATTCCTTCTCCTTTCTAGGAACACAGAAATAAGTGTATTATGATATGTGTATGTAAAAATACACCCACTCTTGTGAGACCCTCTACAGCTCTAAATTGCAGATAAGGTGAGTAGTACAAGGGCATGAAGCACTTGCTGGAGTGTGGCTGTGTGCAGGCACCAGCACACCCTGCTGAGGGACCACACTGCTTCCTTGAGCTGAGCAATACTGTCACTTGGCTCAGTACTGTTTAGGAAGGCATGATTAGACAGCTAGCCTTTAAAGAGAAAAGTGAGCTTCTGGAACGTGATTGTCATCATGGAGATGGTCTATTTCTTGTGACATATTCCAATCTAGTGCTTTATCTAGCAGTCAGCAACCCTGCCTGCAAGCAGGAGGTGAAACTGAATGATCTTTGAGGGCCTTTCCAACCCAATCTGTTGTAGGATTCTATGATTTTTAATCTGTATTTCTGCATGGAGGAGGCTGAAAACATTCGAGACAACAACAACAAAAACTACAAAAAAAATATATATATAAATAAATTTAAAAAATCACCACAACAGCCATTTTGATCGAAGCTAGATGCATGAACAAATACAAGAACTATTGCCAGCATGATAGCTGGGTAATATGGCTTAGCTAGGGCAGCAGTGTGCTGAGACTGAATAGAAAGATGCTGGAAACCCCCAAAGAAAGAGTCCTGCTTGTAAGCAATGTGACAGTAAAATACCTGTTTACACAAATCTGGCATTATTTAATGGTGCTAAGATTAAATCTATCCTGCATGTTTGAAATGATAGGCACAATTTATTTGTGTGTCACACAGTTTTACTTTAGTTTTTAAGGACAATGATGTGATTGTGACAAAAAAGCCAAGCGACTCCCAGGGCTCATCCACAATGCTGATGAGAACCGGTGGGGAACACTGAGGATGAGAACAAAACAATTACCAGTGTCTTTTAAAGGAAACTGTGAGAGAGAGGTGAGCAGGAATTCGATACAGAGAAGGATGGAAAGCAGGAGAGTAGGGCATTCATAGAAATATAGCAATCTTTTCTGCTGCTGTTGGGCTTGGGGGTATTTTTGACACCCACGTGGAAAAACAATGCAGGATGAGGATGGTGGTGGCTCAAAAGCAAGCACTTTACCAAAAACATTGTGTGGGTACAATTGGCTATTCAGGCCAACGGAGATGGGTTTCATAAGGGTCCCCTCTTGTCCTAAAACATCTTATTCTCCTTGCTAAATGGCATTTAAAGCACCAAATATTTTATTAAAAATGCTTTTCAGGGCTAAACAACATTAAAAGCACTTTCTATAGCTTGCATTGCTATTTAGGAAAGCATGTTATTTCTTTTTAATTTGCTCACTCATTCCTGAATAACTTTTCATAGGACTCCAGACACTGCAGTGTGACAGCTAAACCAAGGAGCATTGGTTGCAATGGAATTGCTCTACAAGCAACCTTGCCAAAGGCCCTTTTGCTGCACAAAGCTGGCTCTATCTTTGTATATTGAGGGAACTAAATCAATGTTAAATGCTTGGCTCTTTTCACAGGACAATGACCAGGACCTAAGCTGCGTCCTTCCTATTTGATTGACACTTGAAACGTTGAGTTGGAATCAGCCAGAGGCACTGCTACAAGCTTGAAGCCTCTGCTGGGGATAACAACTGGTGACATCTGCAGAAAGGCCGACAAAAGGCAGTTGAAAGCCGTGTTTGTTGCTTTCCCCTCTCAGATCTCCTCTCTTTCATGGAGCTCCTTACTTGCTTTAATATTATGATTCAGCACCTGGCTCTTTTGAACCTTGCTTTAAACTTCAAAAGGCGAGGTGGTATTAACAAACATGAAACGAAAAAGTGGCAGTAGTTTGATTTACTGTTGTCGTCTTATCAAGGGGGTTTTTTGTCACCAGCTGCCACTTTCTGTCATCTTTGGAACCATTATCATTTCTCTAAAATCTAAAAGACTCCACTTAATAACAGCTTTGAATACAAGCAGGATCAGTAACGTATACAGTTCTGGGATGACAGGGCCATCAAATGAAAAGAAAGATGTTGCAAAAAAAAAAAAATCCTTAAAAAAAAAAAAAACAATAAAACAAATAAAAGCCATAGTACTTCTAAGTGACCTTGATTTCAGAATTAAACAAATCAAGCACAATTCCATTGTTCTTTTTGGATTAATTCTGCACTTTCTTTGCAGTGTTTCTTTTTTGTTCTCAGGACTAAGGGAAAACAAAGCCAAGGCTTTCAGAAAACTGCTCAGCACACAACAAGCACTCGGTATCACATGAGTGCCGTAAGCTTCTCGCTGTAAAATTGCCAGCGATAATTACTGGTCTTGTTTCCCCACCATCCCAGCACAGCAACTCACATTCAGGCTGAGCTGCCTTGCTAGTCAAAAATACGTTCAGCTCCCTTCTTGTAGTGCTGCTCCATGATTTCCTGCAGACTTTTCCAACATGGTTGTGCTGGTCTTTGGCTGCCAAGGCAGAACCAAAAATGTTCCTGTGCCTGGTCTAGTTTGCCCATTGCGGCTGCTCACATTAAGCCACAGGCAGTCAAACAAACACAATTTTCTAAAGTGTAAACCTACTGCACTTTCACACTTGCCACCTCACCATTCCTCACAGGAAACTTAGTCTGATCCCTTTGTTATATAATGGTATGTGCAATTAACTCACCTGAAAGCAGAAATTTCTGAGTGCCTTCTTAACTCATGGAAGAATCACGGACAACACATTGCAAGCAATAACTTTTAATTTGTACAGATTGGAACTTGCACTTCTGTGCATCTTAATAGTTACTTTCACTTGTGCAAAAAGAGTGAAACCAACTGAAAAACACAAAGATCCCCTCCATTCTCCCCATTTGTATGTCCTCCCTCCCCTTAATTATGTGTAACTCCAGGCAATGGGATACTACACTCATTCTCTCATTGGCCCCTTCCAGACCTATTCAACCATAGGAATCTGGGGGAGATTTGTGCCAGAATGTCTTCCTAAAACAGGGCTGGAAACAACAAAATGGGAATGTTCATAAAAGTGAAAGTGCTGATGTCTTGACCAGTGAAAACACAGGATTTCAAGACTCCAAAGTTGGTTGATTTTTTATGGATTAGGACACAACATAACTCATGAAACTGAGGTGGAGATCGCTAAAAATACCTATTATCCTCTGACAGAAGCACTCACTGTATAATGACAATGAGGCTTTTCCACAGAACATGTCCACATTTGAAATTTTAGTCATTTTAACAAGTGTTAATGACTGCATGCTAACCAGAAGTATGTGGGGGAGACATTTTATATTTACTTGTTCCAGACTGGGAACATATTAGAAAGTAGGCTCCATTCCAGGTTACTGTGGTATGAATGAATGTGTTACCCAACTACAAATGAAAAATATTGCAAGAAGAAATAAGGATTTTTCTGTGACATATATCTTTGAAGAGGAGACCAAGAATATGTTCAGTGTATTAGGTCAAGTAGAAATCTGAGCCTGACCCTACTAAGTGTGTGGCACACAGATAACAGAGCATTGTGTCTGTGGGAGGTACTTTTTGGTTTATCCATGAAAAAAAAAAAAAGGTTTTCTGAGAGAAAGAACATACATGGGAAAGCATGGGTGCAGTTGTATCAATATCCCTGCATGCTTTAGGATGATGCTGGAGAAGAGCTATATTTATAAATGCATCCATATAGATATATATAATTTATGTGTAATTCACTTGTTATATGTTGAGTACATTCATTCATACACATGTTCAATATATTTATAACAAAATAGTGTTATCACACACACACACACACACACACACACACACACACACACACACACTGAGCTGAATTTTGGCTTCATTATTTCCTCAACAGATTTTGGAAATGAGAAAACTGAGATAATTATTTCCTTAAAATAACTGACAACACATTCTGAGATAAGTACCTGGCAGGCCAACGAAATTCATTATTCTGAGGTCAGAGCACCTGAAGAACAAAAGATGTAGCCCCCACATCTAATGCATACCTTTATGTCCTCCACAAATTGCCCACTACGAATTCCAGGAAAAATAAACATTTACAGCATTAAAACATAGCTAGAAGATCTCTAGATATATTGGAATAAGTAAAAAAAAAAAACCAAAAAAAAAAAAAAACAAACCAAAAAAAACCCCAAAAACTCAGATCATAGGGAAATTCATTCACAATTAAAACTAGAGGTGTTGAAAGAATCTCTTGGAAAGAAAACAATGTAAAAGTGAAAAAGGATGAAAGTATCACAATAGCCTAGATCAACTTCTAGATTTTTTTTAAGAAATGCACAAAAGAAGAAGAAGAAATACACATTTGGCCCCAGAGACACCTCAATAAATCATACAGACTGAGAGCTACAGAAGACCAGGAACATTTTTACCACCCATTCATGAACAAAACGAAATGAAGCTCTACTCACTTCTCCTGCAGCATAAAACTCAGTCAAGTCCAGTAACGCTTTGTTACAGTTGGAAAGATTAGAGCAGCAGAAAGGTGATACAAGAGCAAAACAGCAAAAAGAACAAACAGAAAGAATATATACCTATCTCTCAAGTCAGCCCTTAAATGAGGTCTAAGAGAGATGCAGCCAGGCTCCACCCCTTCCGGTCACACAGCTGAATTGCCTTCACCTGTGCCCTCAGGGCTGACTGGGTCCTTTCCCCAGGTGCTCAATCAGTGGTTCAGGATGTGACTTAACAGTTCCCATATGCTCTCATGTAAATTTGCATGTAATTAGGGCAATGTGCAGCCACTACTGGAAAAGTAGGAGGAAGAATGTAACATACAGAAAGCTGTATGAACTGGTTTTCTACATGCTCTGCTCCATGCTTGTTTTTATGAAAAGTTTTGAGCAGAGCATGTTTTTTCCCAAGGAAAGAGGCTGTGGATCACACTCAAATAAGGCATTTCAGGAAAAGACACAACTGAATAGCAAAATCCACCAGGTCTGGAGAATTAGGATAAGTAAAGCACAGACATAATGAGTAGCTGTGGACAGGTGCCAACTCTGGACTCAGGCCGATGAGCAGTAGGACATGTGTGACCTCAGTTAGTGAGATGCTCCAGGATGACCTGGGGAACAGCTCACTGAGAAACCTGGCCTCTGGACCGGTCACAAATATTTTGAAGAATTAGATTAACTACTACTACTAATACCAGAAAGGGTTGCAAATTATTTAGAAGGGTGTTATGACCACATATTTGTCAAGAATAAAAGACAATAAACACAGGGAATTGGATAATTTGAACATTATTATGTAGCAGTGTAGCAGAAATGCTGTCACGGCCTGAAGCAGTGATTGAGCACCTGGTGGGAAGGTCTGGATTTCCCCTCCCCGTGTCAACAACTGCTGTATTTGAGGATATCTTCACCTGCTGCAGCCTAGGACTTTTTTTTACTATGCTGTCATTGCTATGCTTTCCATTGTATTACAGTGTTGTGAGTGCATTTTGGAATTCTGTCATAACACTTCTCAATATAAACTCATGTGGAAACCTAATAGTATTACCTAATAGTAATACCACCTATTGTAGGTTAGTAGGTGACATGAAATAAAGGTTAGGAGTAAGTAGTCGTGATCATTTTAATGAAGCATTTGAGATTACTATATAGATTTAAAATGACTGTGCTGTTCTCTACTTTCTTTAACCATTTGAAAAGGTGTGAAATTTGGTGTTAAATTGTACTCAAGAGTTGCAGCAAAAGCTGACTGAGAAATGCTAAAGAAATTCACAAACTGAATGATGGAGTAACAAAGAATCAGGTGAATTTCAGCATTAATATTTTTAAAGTGAAGAAGATAAGGAGAGTATATTTAATTTTTTCTTATTTATGAAACATATTTTGAAGTTGTTATGGATACTAGATGTGTTCTCTGAAAAGCATCAGTTTAGCACTCAGTGGTAGAGAGAAAAGAGAAATGTAAAGAATCATTGAGAAAAGTGGTGAGATAAATGTGGGGGAAAATAGGCCAGTGTATATTACTCTCCATATCTGGAGCTGAATGAAGCTCTTCTCACTTCTCCTGCAGCATAAAACTAAACAGCATGAGCATAGGAACAGAAAAGAGTGAGAGGACAACCTGTGAAGAGAGAAAATAATGAAAACTCTTGGTCTTGGAAAATGGGTATGTTTGGAAAATCCTAAAAAGTATGGAGAATATGAGTCAGGGTAGGCTGTGATTATTTACTATCTCTCAGAATATGAGAATAATGAAATGAACAGGCAGCAGAATCAAAAGAAGTAAGTTTTACATGCATTGCCATATTAAATTTTATAACTTATTCCTGGGTGATGCTGTAGAACTGCAGTGTACAAGTGGCTTTAAAAAGTAACTACACTGGAAAATGCCTGATGTGGAGACGTTTTTTTTTTTTTTTTTTTTTTTTTTTAATATTTATCATCGGACAGTCACTTTTCCTGTACAAAAATATCTTTAAAATTTCGTATGTTAATATACTAAACTGTGTTACTTTTATCATCTGTGATCTTTTCTGTGTCTATACTTCATGCAGCAATTGTCCTTCCCCTTTGTCAAAATTTGCTTACAAAAGTTCATCTTTCATCTGTATGCATAAGGATTAACTTAAGCCACACTTTGAAAAACAGAGTTGTACCTAGCTTTAATTGGTTGCATAGGTGATGTCAGATTATGCAGTTATCATTAAATGCAGGGGATAAGTAGCATATCTGTAAGGTTTTTTAACAATAAGTGTTTTCAGGGTTAAGTTGTGAACAGCCATTTGCTGTAATAACAAAAATGCTGATGTGTTTACTTCAGCTGCTTTTGGACAATTACTCTGGATACTCTTCCTTCTGCATACATCATCAGTTTAATGAAGCACCTCCACTGATCACTCATTCACTTGTTTTCTGCTGAAGTGTCTGGGCCAGATCAAATGAAGCCTTTAGATGCTAACAAGTCAGTAATAACACACCTGAGGAGTTAGATCCCAGCTGCTCCAGGAAAATGCCCAGAACTCCTGCTCACGAGGTGTATCTACTTGCTGAAAATCTTACTGTTGCAGTGGATTAAGTGATCTTGAGCTTCTTCCCAAGTACTGGACTCT